ACGTGGTCCTCCAGCAGCTGGAACAGAACATGATCTGAATGATCCAAACAGACTGAAACATGGAGCCAAACATCAGCTCCATGTTGGACACTCTGGCAATCCAATGGTCATGACCATGAAGATGTCCAGACCATGAAGATGGAGTCCAGCTGTGTTTGATGCTCCTGGGCAGACTGGGCACTGGGAACTTCTGAGTTCTGCTGCTCCACTCTGTGGAGGAATCAGGAACAATGAGCTCACATCCTGTCTGACCACACACAGACAAACACAAGCTGAAGGTCCATGAAGTTTTATATGAACTGCTATCCAACATTGAACTAACCTTATCTCATCTGAATGTTCATCTTTGAAATTGATGTAATCGGGAATGGAGTGGTCACAGGACACACAGCTGGGTCCTGGTTCAGGCTCAGGTTTACCCCTGTGAATAAAGATGGTGAGACGAGTGCTGGTCTCTGATAAGGAGAGGAGTCATGGACAGTCAGAGAAGGTCCTCTCACCTCTGAGTCCTGCCTTTAAGGTCCTCAAACTGATCCATGCTACTGAATTCACACCAGCTCACACACACTTTATACCTTCATCTGCATGGGAAACACACAACACTTGAAGGAAATTACAAATCTTCATAATAGGACCCTTATGAGTGGATTACTGTTTAGTGCTGTTTAGATCTGATATCCGTTTCATTTTATGCCCAATGACAATGTGATTGACCAAAACCATTCATAGCAGAAGTGATGAAGAGGAAGAGACTACACACAGCAAACTGTAGCCCGTTTGAGCTGCTTTCTGAAATATATCAGCGCACCACAGGCAGGACCTCCTCTACATTTAGAGGTTATGTTAGAATGAACCTTGAAGATCCTAAGCAACAAACTCTCATCGTTTTCCGCTTACGCTGCCATTTTCTTTGTCTTGTCTTCTCTGATTCAGCCTCTGAAGGCCATCCTCCACACTGGTCTTTGTGCCAGAAATGGGGTAGGGTTAGAGTTATGAGTAAATGACCATATTAATGAAATCAGCTCTAAATTGTCACAGCAAGACGGTCCCAGCCCGTGTGGAGTTTGGATGGTCTCCCTGTGTTTGCATGGGTTCTCTCCAGGTACTTGGGCTTCCTCCCAATGTACATCTTAGGTTTACTGGAGACGGTAGCTGGGATAACCCAATGATAGCTGGGACCAGCCAGTGATGACTGTGATTGCCCAAAGATAGCTGGCATGGGCTAATGATAGATGGCATGGGCTAATGATAGATGGCATCGCCTAATGATAGCTGAGACCGCCCAATGTTAGCCGGGAATGCTAAATTATAGCTGGGACTGCCCAGTGACAACTATGATCGCCCAATGATAGGTTGGACCACCCAATGATAGCTGGCATGGCCTAATGATAGATTACATAACTCTCTGATAACTTGGACAGCCTAATGATAGGCTCCAGTTCCTCAATGACCCTACCTAGAATGAGTGGTTTAAAACATTTTCATGAGGAACAATTTTGGTTTCTCATGGCTAAGATCTGACAATCATGAGGAACTGTCAGGAGGTGGATCTTAGGGGAAGACTCAGGCGCGGAGAGGGTTAGTTCCAAGGGTTTTATTTGAACAAAAACACACTCAAAAGGAGTGGATGGTAGATATGGTTCAAAACAAGGCTGTGACAAAACTATGAACAAAGTATCAAAGCAAGATTTAACATGACTGTGGCAAAAGTATCAAAACAAGACTATGGCAAAAGTATAAAAATAAAGTAAACAAGACTATGGCAAAACAAGGTTAACAAGACTGTGGCAAAACAAGGCTATGAAAAAAACATGGCTATGGCACAAAAACAAGACTATGGCAAAGTGCAAAAAATCCAAACCTTACATGACGAGGGGAGACGAAAACAGAAAGACGAAAAGGTGACGAAAGACAAAAAACTCACAAACACACTAGCCCAGGACATGGGAAACGAGGACTATTTAAACACGAGGGAAGGGAACCCCAGGTGTACACAATAGGTAATCAACGCATGACGACACACCAGATTGTGGCAGGAACTTTGTATACCCTTTTAACTTTATACCCCTTGAACGCCATAATAACTCATTAAAGGGACATTGTGTAGCATTTCAAGTATATTAGCTAAAATAATTTTCTTCATTTATAAATGTGTTCTCATTTGGTGTAAAATTACCTGTGCAAGGATCTGACTTCTCCTCATAAGCGAAGAATTTCCCATCAGTATATACAGTACATAGGGCGGATAAGTCATTTCCATGTCGTTCCGCCATTTTGAAAAACTATAATGGCTGAGAGGGAAATAAAGCACTAGTCTACGCTGTCTAGCTAGTCCACAACGCATTTTCGGTCAGAGCCAGAGTCATGTGACTGAAATTTCTTTTAAATTACTTAATATTTGAATCAATTAATTTAAAGCAATTCATTTTAAAGGGGACATATTATGCAAAACCAAGTTTTTAATCATTTGATCATGTACATTTGGGACTGTGGAGGGCCTATCAGCAGGCAAAGTCTGAAAAAAATGACTGGGTCATGTTTTTGTGGGCCGCCTCAGTCTGAATCCAGGAGATAAATCAGGAGGTTTCAGGAGTGGGTAGTTTCTGACCTCATTAGCTCTAGCTCATTATAATATTCCAGCCTTTCACCTGCATGTTGCCCCCCCCACCTCAGCTTACTCCCCTATCTGTGGAGACGTCCTTGTAGCGTGAGCGTTAGCGTGGTAGCGTTAGCGCGGTAGCGTTAGCATGGTAGCGTTAGCATGGTAGCATTAGCATGGTAGCGTTAGCGTTAGCATGGTAGCATTAGCGTGGTAGCGTGAGCATGGTAGTGTTAGCTTGGTAGCGTTAGCGTGCAGACGTGGGCACACCTCCCTGAAGAAGTGGGCGGATTGCCTGTGTCTCATTTGCATTTAAAGAGACAGGCACTCCAAAGGGGGCTGTTTTGGGTTAGGGTTGGGGTTAGGGTTAGGCAGGGGGACTGAACTGCTATTGGGCTTAATCCTTATGGTATTCTGACCAAAGCTTGTCACAGACATTACATTAGGACACCAGGGAAATAGTTTAACCTTCTGAAAGTATAGTATGATAGTATAGTATGACATCTCATTACCTGTCGGAAAACTTTAGGTAATTAATACCAATTAGTCTGCAAATGTTGGAACGAGCTCAGTTTCAAAACAAAGTGTCCCACAGGAATTGTCATTATTTCTTGATGCATGACGGCTACCTTAGTTGCAATACCCATTTGAAAACGGAGGCGTTAGAGAGCACGATTTGTTAGAATGCAGAATACAATCACACCCTTAGATGGGAGAAATTTCTACACCGTGTACCTTTAAGAAATCCCCTGCAAATGGGCTAGTCAGTGGTCATCGACCTGAACACTTCTCATCATGTTGAGTTCCACCCTCCCGTTCCCCAGTAGGATCAACAAAGTTCCTGTCATTTTGGTCAGAAAACAGCCACATTGTGACAGCAAAAACAGGTGGTACTCACAGGAATATCCTGGTTTTCCTCGCAGATTGAGGGGCCGGGTGGTTCTTGACAGACGGAGGACTCGAACTTGAGCTTGAAACGCTGGCTGTTTGAAGCTAGACCTCAAAACAGCCACTCTGTTCTGCCCGACCTGTTCAACCTGAACGATCAGATACTTGAAATGTTTAAGGAAAACCTCAACAAGGATGTTGGCAAACTGATGCTTATCAGTTGGTTTCAAATTTCTGTCACCACCTCATTTGCCCGCAGAGTCTCCAGCTCCCGTCCCTCAAGTTCACGTGGTCAAGTCATGTGATCCATTAATTGGGAGCTGATTGGCTCAAAGGAAAGAACTCACCTTATCTGTGACTAATAATGTTGATTCTTTCTTCCTCAAAGGCTCAAGAGGTGCTTGTCCAATCCCACTAGGGTTAAGGCTACTCTTTAAGGATGTGAGGGTTAGGGTTACTCTTTGAGTTTGTTAGGGTTAGGGTTAGTCTTATCTGGTCTCCCATTGGTTTCTATCTGATTCATCAATCACTACCTAACTTCTTTTGGACTTTAGCACCTAAACAAGTATGACACTGCCTCCTTCCTTTGAGAAATTCTTCAAATCTGTTAATTTCTAAATCTGAAGAAAAACCAATCAGGATGTCCACAAGTCACTTTTTCTAGACTCTTCCACAATCTACCTCTATAACGAATGAAGAGGAAGTTTATTCAGAGCCTTATCAGATGGTTGAAACGACACACCTTTGTTACGGTTACACTTTCAGCGCCTCAATGTGAAAATATGTCGTCCAACTGGATCTGAGAAAGGCGGAGACTTGGATTTGTTTGTGTAAGGTGTTTATACTAGCTAAGGCATGCACAGATTTGAGCTTCATTAAAGAGACTAAGAGCAGTACACAGGTCATCTATAATGTTGTCACATGTCACCTGTTTGTCTTTGATTTCACAATAAGATAAACACACAAGGCTGAACAAACCTCTTTGATTGGTGCCCAGTTCCACCCAATGTGACATAATCTGCTGGAACTGTTCAGGAGGTGGATTTGTAATGATTTGTCTCCCTCTTTTGGTGATTATGTATACTGTACCATTTGAGTTGAGTGTACGAGGCTCCGTCTAGTAACTGAACAGCAACAAAAACGCACAATTCATTTATACACAACATTATGTGGACACATTAGGACAAAGGAACAGCAGATCAAAGGAGACTCTTACTCTTTCTAGTGATGTCCCATCATGTGAAAGGGATATTTTCCAACCCATAAACGACAAAAATGAATCGTTTTTGTTGGCAACACTTCAGATAATGTGTCCTTTCCCCCTGTCCTTACTTATAGTGGAGTTTTTCATGAACAAAAGCTTTTTCCTGGACTTGGGGTGGCCTGGAAAGAAGGTTGAAACAGGTACCCTAATTCCCGTACTATACACTGCTACTTTTCTTTGTATCCATCCATCAATTAAACAATTAGCAAAGGTTATGCGATAAGCACTTCAAAAGAATGGACACATGGTAAAAACCTGGATGAGTATTTTCTTATAAAGCAACTGGACAAATAAAAACGACCACAGAAAAACATGGCAAACTATTTAGAAATGTAACAACCTCAAATATTGATTCAATACAAGGATATTAAACAGTGATGCGGCTAATTTATGGATATTTACAGGCTAAGCAGCTTCATGCTGCGTTGTAGCATGTAGCATTGTCGCATCAAACCAATGATATCACCAAAAAAGTATGTGGAAAAAGGGTTAGGGTCAGACTTACTAGGCTTAATAGGCTGGATATTACGGTAATAACGCAATTATTCAAATAGATTAGCGCCGCTTTCTGAAATATAGGGTGGACTCTCTGTGGTGTAATTAGCCTCTCACTGAATGATATAGCTCCCAGTCCCTAGCCAGGATGAATTTACTTATTCAGTTATTTACTGAATGTTCCGTTGTGAAAGTAAACCTTTTACTTACTTCTTCTAATGGTGGATTCCAATCTGTGCTCAGCTTGCAATTGTAGGTACAATTCAGGCCATGATCAAGGAAGAGCATGAGTCAAAGGTAGGAGTAAAAGGCTAATTTCCTTTGCTTTTCTTGACAAAAAATGTTTTGCTTTGAGGTAAAGGCCGAAATCCCCAACTGAGAGTCTTTGTTTTATTGCCTCTGGAATCCGAATCTGTCACGGGGAGTAAGTCTTAGGGAGGACTCAGTCGCAGAGAGGGTTAGTTCCAAGGGGTTTATTGCAACAAAAAACACACTCAAAAAAGTGGATGACAGACATGGTTAAAAAACAAGGCTGTGTAAAAACTATGGCTATGACTAAAAACAATAAACAAGACTATGGCACGGCTGTGACAAAACTCATGGCTATGGCAAAGTGCAAAAATCAAAACCTTACGTGGCGAGGGGTGACGAAAACACACTGGCACAGGACATGGGAAACAGGACTATTTAAACACATGAGGGAGGGGAACCCCAGGTGAACACAATAGGTAATCAAGACATGACAACACACCAGACATTCCCCCAGACCTGACAGAATCCTCCTTTTGGTCTCATAGGGCTAGCATTTCTTCCCACTCTTTCTCCAGCATCTCCACTAGAAGACACCAGAGGGCCATCCGTGAAATCCTCCCCTCTCATTGGTCCCAGCCTCTTGCTTGCTCTCAGATATGATGTCAGCCATTTGTTGACCTCAGCTAGGACACAAATACGTCAGCAATTTTACCAATCTTACCAATTTTTTATCAGTTCATTAGATCTTTGGGAGAATACATGCATGTTTTTATTTATCCGCAACAGGCTACCTGGTTTATAACCTATTAGCAGGAACAGCTATGGATGCTTTTAACATCTCCAGTGAGACTCCATCCCTAGAAATTTTCAAAAGTCTGATACCTTTGAACTTTTGATGGGTTTTGAGCTCCTGTAAGATGTTCAAATGCCAGCCTAATTTGCATGTGTTCAGATGACTCCCTTTGCAGGCCTTCGGGCCAAGGCATTGTTTCCAATAATCTGGAAAAGGGGACAGCTTTTCAGATCTTGAAGCGGGACAATGCGACAACTTACCCGTTTACGTGTGACCGTCACCAATTGAAAAGAAGATGGCGACGTCAACGGTTGACTGTTGAGTAGCTGAAATCTAGTGGAAGCAATGCAGCAGACAAAATGTCTACAAAAGTGTCATTACCAAGTGGGATTTGTAAGTTTTACTCCATCTTCCCCATGAATGAAGCCTCTGTGAGGTTTATGGGAGTCTCTAAGGTCTGGAGGTGTTCCAGTTTCCACCAGAGGATCTATATTTAACTGGTAATCAAGGACAGATCAGAGTTGTTGTGTATACCAACGCCAACCCACACCTCTTTTATGGTAAGATAGCAGCAACAAGCAAACAAGCTAACACGCTAACGGGACACCCCTGGACCTCTGTAACCTCTCCGATCTTCACAGAGGGAGAACCTTCGTACCGCTTTCCTCCTTAGACCAAGTTCACCATCCTCTGAGACCAAATAAACTGGTTTATTTTCTCCCATTTTATGGCTGTCTGCATTTGGGCTCACCAAAAGACTACATTGTCTCTTGTAGTTCTACACAATTCTTGTAATTAGGGTTAGGATCGATATGAGGGTATGAATAAAGTAGCATTTGTTTCTAAGAAAGAAACAGGAGTTTGGTGTAGCACCAAAAGACAAAAGCTGCCTAATTGGAGGAACTCATAGTCCCTAATAGTCCCTCATAGACTCATAGTCCCACCAACATTTTTCCCAGTCATTGTCTCTCGTAGTTCTACACAATTCTTGTAATTAGGGTTAGGGTCGATATGAGGGTATGACTAAAATAGCATTTGCTTCTAAGAAAGAAACAGGAGTTTGGTGTAGCACCACCTAAAAAACAAAAGTTGCCTAATTTAAGGGACTGATAGTTGTCATCTACCCACATTTTACCCAGAATAGGCCTGAACTACAAATGCATAGAGCATGTCAATTATAAAAGGCTGAATTCAATTCAAGCTAGCTAAACTCTGCCTCAGGAAATTGTAATCTTTCCCCTACGCTTTGATCAAAAGGTGTTTTCAACATCGCAAGAGGACGAAGACAAAAAAAAGCAACTGTCCTCTTTGAAATGTGTTGCTCCTGAAGCGCTGTTGCCATGGAGATACCTGTCTGTAACCCAGAAGAGGAGCTGATGACGCTTGACGGGTGTCTAAAGGAGACAACCGGACCGGGCCCGCTGGATTTTAGTTCCCTCCAGGGGGACTCTGGCCTATAAAGCTCCTCTCCCTGCTGTCAGAGTGGGTAGGAGGTGTACTACCCTGAAACTGACCTGTCCTATTATAGGGAACACGTCATTCTGTTTCCAATTCATCTAACTCAAGGCTAACTGACTGCCTACTCTTTTACCAACAAATGACAAATAGGAACTTCTTCTTTTCTCTAGATTATTATTATAATAAGAGCCTTAGTCATATATCTGGTCTAATATTTCCCTTTGAACACATGTATTGTCCATCAAAGGTATTGGACACAGGGTTTTATTAGCTTTATGGATCTCCTGGAGATCCTGTGTCCATGCTAGGACCAGTCCATTCTGTCATTGTTTGCATTGTTGTTCTAAGTCCATGATACCTCTTAAAGAGAGAAACCCAATCAGAGACCAGAGGAGAACATTGGGTTTTCAAACAGAGACATCCAAAGTTGTGGTTTTTCTGGTCCATGTTGGTTCCAGTCCTCACCTTTGGATTCAAAATGTGGTGGAAGATGGAGAGAAGGGGATAAAAGTGGGTGTCGTTTGTAGGGTGTCTGGGCTAGCCCATTGTGATAGGGGGGTATTTACACAAAAAGCTTTGACTGTATAAGAGTCTGTGCTTTCTCTGGGAAAACTAGTCCAATTCACTGTAACCTAGTCTGATAAAGAAGCCAAACAGCATTTTTTTCCCCTCTTTATTTGCAGAACGAGATGTTGAAACTCTGTCTTGTTGTGTTAACGTTTTAGATACCAGTTAAAGATACCAGTTTTGGGAGTGCACCAAATGGATTATTGGGGTATTTTCGATGTTAGGATTTGAGTACTTATTGGGATCAAATTAAAATATGTTCTGTTTTTTATGTGTAAATAATGTTTTGTTTCATTGGTTGCTAATTTGATGTAAATATTCTTGATTGGTTC